AGTTTCATTACATGGCTCTACAATCAATAAAAATCATTGGTTTTATAAAAATAAGGTAAGGTATTATTAATAGGATAAAAAGAACTCTATATGTTAGCTATGTAACATGAACTTACTTTTGACAGGTGGTGATGAACCTAATTCACTCACACTCTGACCTGAAATATAAAAGTAAATATTTTTAAAACTTAGATTTTAAGTAGCGCATTTCTCAGATAGGAATTATAAATTTGGGAATGTTTAAATAAAAAGGAGCACCTAAGGGTCCTTTGCCAATGGCTATCATCTTATTTATGGAATTGCGGAAAAAATACCTAGTCCTGATCTGTATATTTTATGGTGTAAAACTAGAGGGTGTAACTTTGGAGAGCATCTAGTTGTTAATATTTGCTACCGAATTTCATAACTTAATTTCCATTCAGAAAATGATATAATGGAAAACCATGTGCAAAAACCACACATGTAAATAAATAATAAAAATAAAAACATACTCGATGAAAAACCAACATCAGTTTCTCCTCCATTTTTCAGTGTCGTTTTTATCAAACTTTTAATCCGTTTATTTTGTATTGGTTTTTCATTATAAAACCTTTTCCTTAACTTGTTGAACAATGTAATCTAAAAAGCAAAAACAAAATATTAACCTTCACATTTAATGTTTCAGATATCTCTCAGTTGTCTTTGTATTTTGTAGCATAAATAATATGAAAATGTATGTGAACGTGGTTTACATTTTGCAAGATCAAAACTGATTTCTTCCCTTCTTTAAATTGAATTAAAAGTATTATTAAATAGAATCAATTATTATGTTCTGTAACAAATTCACTAAAAAAAAATAAAAAAAGATTACATGTTTTGATGTCTTGTCATTCAGGCAAGGGTATTTAATAACTAAAGACTTTGACATTTCTAAAAGGTCTTGTCTTGTTGGATACTGATTCATCAATGAGGCATGTGCATTCATTATTTTGATTGTTCCTCTGACCATCCGGTTATATAGCTCACTACTTATAAAGTTTTTTACAGCAGCATTTGCAAATTCCAGATCATGATATATTGGATATGATGATCCAATGTATTTTGACTGCTCTGGACAATTAAATACTTCAATTAAATATTGACAAAGTTAAATAAAAACTAAAAAATATTTCCAAACACCAAATGCTTCCAAAATAAAATAAAAATCACTTTTAAGAAAAATGCTTAAAAAAAAAAATTAAATTGAGAAGGGAAATAATATGAATTAAAAAATTAATATTTTTTATAAATTTAAAGTATATTAAACCTTATTCTTGTCAAGTATAGCATTATTATTCATGTCAATATCATTGTTATTGTCATCATCAACATCTTTAATTAGTCTTTTTGATGTTACGCCATTACTTCTAATAAAAGCATTTTTAAAGCATAGCATTATCACATATATTAGTAACAGATATTTAAAAAATACATAGTTACTATTTCTTAAGGGTAAAAACAATAACAGTGCATCCCTTAGGATACAATGTTACGTGAATATCATTTACCTCATTTCTGCATCAACACTTTGAGAACAAGTCTGATTATTGTTCTGATATATGTCTTCTTTAGACAATACAACATCAACTAACTGAACAAAAATAAAAATATATAAATAAAAATATTCTTATAGAAATGTAAATTTCAAATTACTGTGTCAAAGCAAACTAATTCTAAAAAAAGTCTTAAAAACTGTTACTAAAGTATCCGATGTTATATTCTCATGAAAATCAGCGTCTGATATATTTAACTAAAGTAAAAAAAAAAAAAAATTTAAATCCTTCATGTTTTTGTTTTTTTTTCATTAGTTGTTTATTCAGCATTCAATCTATTAAAGCTTCTTAATACAAAACACAGATTGGGAAAATGTCATTCATGAATAATTTAAATTACAAAATACACTGCATGTTGCTAATTAACACATGTATATGTACCTCATGCATAACCTTTTTTAACTCGGTTTGAATGAGCTTCCATAACTTTGCCCTTAAAAGTATTTGAGTTTTTAAAGGAAAAAGTTCACTTAAGGTCTCGTAAATAATCTCGAAAAATCACGATCATCTACAATTCCTGCATCTAAAAAAAAACGAATGTTTATAAAAAATAATAAAATAATATCAATGATAAAAAAACAACATTTATTTGTTTATTTTAAAACAACAGAATGACCCAAAAGCCACTAATACTTAAGTATACATCAGAGAATTTTCTACTGCAATATTCCAATTGTATTAAGTGTTAGAATAAGTTTAAACAAAATTCTATCAAGTAGAACATAGTATGAGATGTTTTTTAAACATCGAGATAAATGGTGCAGATTTTGCGGTAAATTGTTCCACGAATTAATATTCAACAAAAGAAATACTTGGTGCTGTTAAAATTACAATGGAGTTTTTATAGTTTAAAGTTATGACCACGATTACCTAAGTAACAATTAAGAATAAAAATGAAAGGTCAGTGTCCAGTTTATCATTAAGAACATTTTAACATAAAACTAAATCCTTAAACCTTCAACGATATTCTGTGTATTGAGCTTTAGTATGGTTATGTATTCCCTGGTTTTCTAAATTTTAAAAACTTATTCCTTTGGGTGTTATTATTGCAGGGTTTGAAACCTGCACTAGAAATCACAACAATGAGCATGTTCTAGTTTTTTTAACGGAAAAAAATGTTTACTTACATTTATCAATTCGTTTACCTCTAAAATGACTAATGTATCCTGGAAATTCATCACGAATTTTATTAAAGATTGTTTTCATCCTATTAACAATTAGCAACAAGACCAAACAAGTTAACAACGAGCATGTATTTATGAAAGACGCGATATTTTTTTTAAAAAGTTTTTTTAATTGTTTTTTTTTTAAACGTTTAATCACGTGTTGCTTAATCATATACACTGAAACATCGTAAAATAAAAATGGAATATATCAACACGGAAGTTGATATATTCCATTTTTATTTTACGATGTTTGATTAAGCAACACGTGATTAAACGTTAAAAAAAAAACAATTAAAAAGATATTAAAAAAAAATATATCGCGTCTTTCATAAGTACATGCTCGTTGTTAACTTGTTAATATAAATTAATAATAATACAAGATCCGGTGTTTCCTAGTAATTAAAGAAATTTAATGTATTTAAATCTACAAATAAATCTAAATGTTTAACTTAGACATTTTTATAAAATTTACCTCCACCACGTCATTGTCTAATATTTCTTCCTCATATTCAATATCAACTACATTTTAACATTCTGGTGTATTTCTATCTTCATAAATATCAAATTGATTTTGTACTTGAGATTCAATATTTTTGTTGGAATAATTTTTTGAAGAGTGCTTTTCTCGAAACACATTGTATTTTTCATAATCATCTTTATGATGTCAAATTGTATGTTTGTACAAAGAGTTGTATTTGACAAAAGATATTGAACATCCATCAACAATACATTCACATTTAAAATCCAAACTCAAGCTATGAACTTGATAAACATGACTAAGTACTGTTTTCAAATTGAGAGAGACAAATACATCGCAGCAATTACACTTAAACATAACATAAAAGTTGCTCAATCAACCATTTTTTACCAAGTGCCAGAGTTTTCCTTTTTAAAAAAAAAATGATCTGATCATCTATTTTCTTTGCAAGAAGTACTTCTATAGTATATAGCAAGAAGTACTGTAAAAGTTAATTATACAAATTAAATTTTATATACTTTTTATTCTCAATAACAAATTTATAAGCTACACAATTTACAAAAAGATAATAGACAAAAAAGATAATCTCAGCAAAATCTAAATCATCTACTAATGGGTTTCAGTTAAAAAAAACGTGTATTTTTTATATGAATGTATTTGCCAAAAAAAAAATAATTTACAATGGTAGAATAAAAAACAAGTTTTCATACAACTAGGGCTAGAAAAAGACAAACTTTGTCTTGATGCCAGGACTAACCGGTATCGGTGATGAATACAGTGGTGAAGGAATGTATTCCCTCTTCAAAATAAAATTAAGGTTTAAATTTTAGCATTATTTCTTCAACAGCGTGCCGAAGCAGTATTGTAGAGTCTACATCAAGACCGTAGTTAAGCATTATCTCATACTCTTGAACTAAGGTGGAGGAAGCGAATTTTTTACGAAAAATTTACCTCATATAGGAGGTGAATTTCTTAAATAATTCCCTTTCCTCCCCCTTCTCTTTTGGAGAGTTAGACAGTTATGCAAAATTAAAGGTTTTTAACATTTTAAGGCCCTAATTTCTGGCTAAATGAGGGGGTTGTGGTAGTTACGGCACTGGCCTGCAAATATTCCTTGATCCGTCGCTAAGCAGTATATTTATATTTGTTTTTTTCTTTTATTATAAAGAAATACATAATTTTTTAGCACTTCAAGCCAAATCGCATTTTTGCATGTTTTCACTTATGCTTGCACGTTGCACTTGCACATATGTTAATTTGCAACTACTTTGCTCTTACAAAAGATTCATATTTATGCTGTTTAGATTTATAGTAGATTCGCAGGTATGAAAATTGCACTTATTAATTGCGAATTCTATATAATTCTTGCAGTATACAAATCCTTCTAGTTAGTATTTTAGTTTTAATGGCAATCAAATGAATTAGACTGTATGTTTACATAAAATCATGATTACAGGGTCTATCAAAGGGTGGGGGAGGAGGTTGGTACAGGAGGGGAAATTTAGGGACCCAATTCCGAATTCAATGATTTTTTTTTTTGATATACCTCTAAAAAGGAAGGGCTTTTAATATATATATATATATATATATATATATATATATATATATATATATATATATATATATATATATATATATATATATATATATATATATATATATATATATATATATATATATATATATATATATATATATATATATATATATATATATATATATATATATATATATATATATATATATATATATATATATATATATATATATATATATTATATACAATATCAAAATATTACAATATTATTAAGTTAGAAACAATGTTTCTTATTAATAAAAAACATTGTTCCTAACTTAGTAATACTGTACTGTATATTTCAATTGAAATATCTTAAAATAAATTTCAGATTCTTAAAATAAGAATCAAGTTCTTAAAATAAGAATCGAGTTCTTAAAATAAGAATCGATTTCTTAACATAAGAATCGAGTTCTTAAAATAAGAATCAAGTTCTTAAAATAAGAATAAGATTTTTAAAACAAGAATCAGATTCTTAAAACAAGAATCAAGTTCTTAAAATAAAAATAAAAGTTCTTAAAATAAGAACAAAAATTCTTAACCTAGAATCTTGAATTTTGCTGTGTAACGGCTTCTTGTATGACTAAAGAAAATGCTTTTATACTTTTTATTTGGTTTTTAACACAAATGTTACGAATTGCCCGTTATACATATATATACATAGTCCATGCAACTTCTGTTTGAAAAGAATGCAATGACTACATAACATCAATGATCAGCATGACTTTAAGAATTTTTCTCAGGTAAGTCTTCATGTAACATTTTTGCCAATTATTTGTAATTACGAATAAAGGGTATAATTCTGTTAACAAAGCTTCAGCATCAAAACCAGTAAATTCAGAAATTCAACTTAATTCTTGTACACGCAACCTTTTTTCAAAAATTTTCGTTAATCCTTTAGGATCAAAGCAGGCCTCTTATTTCAAGCAGATCATTTAATGAAAACCGTCTAGTGATGCTAGAAGTTATTTAATCAGTGACTCTTTTAAAAACTTGAAATAAAAAAAGTGTTTGTATAATTAAAGGCCTTTTACTTCACTTATTTCTCCAGGCATTTTTTTTTTCAATGAAGTTCTAGTTTCACACAATTGATTGCTTAACGTTACCTCAAGATTGCGTTAAAGCATCAGCTCATTAACTTCATTCGTAATTAATATCGTATTGTTGTAAATCTCGTCAAATTTTTCGGCTTGCAGTTGTTTTTTGGGTGTCTGCCCCATTTGCCAAGCACTTAAATATTCAATTTTTTTAGTTTCTAAGTACTTTGATGCAGGTTGCGGAACTTTGAACACT